CAATTGAGTGGTATTTTTGTTATGTTATCTCATAACTATATCGTTAAACTATATGCCATTTTGTTAGGTTGATTGGAAGAGATCTCTTTTAGAGATAAGTTCGCCTTTGCTTACATTGTTTCTAATTGTTATTATTATTGTATGTTAATATGTTAGTATGTTTTACAATAAAGAATGTTTAAAGATAATTAAAAGTAAATTTTCTAAATTGTCAAATGGTTTTTATTATTACGTATAAATGTGAAGCTAGTATGTATTTTTTATAAAGTTGTACAAGACAACAGAATAAAGACAAATATTATGATAAACTATCACTATATTGATGAAAAATAAATAAAACTACTCGCCAATTTAGAAATTTTACCTCAAATTGTATTTATTTACAAAACAATCAACAAAAACCACAAGCCTCGATTCTAGCGTCATCTAGTAGTTCGTGTCCAAATTTGTTTAGTGACCAAACACTTTGAGTAAAAGGTATTTTGATTACGTTGCGAAATACGTTAATATATTGCTCAATTGATAAGGCTTTTTTTAACGTTATGAAATTTGTTCTTTTTATGGTATTCCATTAAAACTTTTGCCATTTTTGGTTTCGGTCACAGATAATGTAATACTATATTAGTAGTTCGCTCAACATTTTGCTAAATAAAAAGAAAATACTATTCGTAAATGGCGTAGTTAGTGACTTTATCGATTACCGTGGCAACCGTAGCACTTGAGTTGCTTACGAATCCGAATATACAAGGTAAAAATGAAATTATTTTAAAAGAATTTTCTACTGTATTTGTTTTTTTTTTTAATTCTTCATTTAATATTTTTTTTCAATGTATTATGTTTTTTTTTTGATGGGTGAAAATGGTATGATAACCCCGCCTGCGCTAACGGGATACGCTGGCGGAGCACCAGTGAAGGGTGATCGATGAGAATGAAAAAAACAAAAACAATGTATTAAGTTTCATCTACACCTATTTTACTTACATCTGAAATGTAATCTGAAATATAATTTTAGCATTCGTGCTGGTCACGAGTTAAGGGGACGCCTAAAAATCAGCGCTGTATAGGTGCATCTCGCTGGAGATGCGCATATAAAGTAACAGCTGAGGCAGCTTCTATTGCCAGCAAAAGCGTTACAACACTGGGTTTGCCCATACGGAGTCGCTGCTCAAGAACCTTTCTTCCTCATTGGTTATTGGTTCTTTGAGCTATGTGACCAGCCATTGCCACTTCAGCTTGATAGGTAAATTGATTAGTTTGGCTTCTATTGCCTTTACTGACTTTGTAAAAATGTCGTTTTCTTGGGTACCTTTGTCCCATTCGTATTTCAACCGTAAAGGAGTTGTGTTTGCATGGCTATGTTTCGGTTTGAAGCGTGAATTTACTGGGTACAGAAGAATAACACCTGAGTCCTCAAGAATGGCAATGTATGGGGGGTATCATGGGCGGAACAGTATACTCTGTAATGTTCATGTTACTGCTCATGTTTATAGGCGACAGTTACTACTTTCCATCAGGTGAGCCGTCAGATTGTTGCCATTCTAAATTGTATAAAAAAAAATTAGAGCCGTTATATTAATTTTCTTTAAAAATTTTCCATTTACAGACATTGCTTATTTACAATTTTATTATATTAATATGTAAAAAAAAAATACATAAGAGTTAAGGCAATCTTTGACTCTATCTTCAGTTAATATAATCTACAGTTAGACAAAAACAACGGTTTACATTAACAGTTAAATTGGTAAAACCTCACAGTAGCAATTACTACACTCACAACTCGTAACCAAATGAGAATTGGTGATCAGTGGCCATCAATTCTCATTTGAAATGCATGATTTGGCTACCACTGTATTGCTAATAAGTTTCAACCCAATTCTACCTGATTGTTTACTAATTAAACTGCCTACCGAACTGACTTTTAGCACAATCGAAGGTTACGTGATTTATTGCTTGAAATTGTATACTATGTCAATAATATAGAGTATTTTCAAACAATTGTTTATTAAATTAATCATTTTGCGTTAATATTTTTTTATATTTATTATATATTTGTAATTGGTGCTATGAATTGTAAAATAAATAAATATTTTTTAATATAAATAGATACCTAATTGAATCCGTGTGAAGCTGAGAAGTTGGGTCGCTAAATAGTCATAAATCCTACTCATAATATATATGTATAATGTAAAATATATACGTATAGAATGGTCCACCTTTACTTTCCTGTAAACTTTTACGTAAGAAGCGCGAGGCGTCGTGGTATGGGCGATAACGTCCCTACTAAAACATTAAAAGCCTAATTGCGGTTGCTAGTCCGCATGCCAAGCGTGGCAACTACTGGCAAAACTCCCCTTATGGGGGTGGCCTATATTCAGCAGTGGACTGTTTAACGGCTGATAGGGTGATGATGATGATCCGAACGATCGAAATTATATCATTTTGGTAACGTTCCTATTATTGTTTTAACATCAGATACTTTACTTTTCGTCTCATTTAGTTTTGACATTTCGTTAAATTTACCGTAGTAGGTATAATTCCTCATAGTCGTAGAATACTGACGGATCTGACAAAGATTACATATAAAGATCCGTCAGTATTCTACGGCTATGACGAATTAATGGGAGACTGAAAATTGTGCGTAAATAATGTGACATAACATATTGTATGTATTATTAGTTAGATAAAAATGTAGTGGAATGGATATTTATCTTGTTGAGATAGAAACCATTGTTTTATCACTGTGATAATCTTAAATCGATGACATTCGTGCGTATTTATAAGTATTCATGATATTAGATAAAGATATTTAATCTAAAATACATAAGTCACCAGGGATTTCTCCTTTAATGGGTGAAATCGAATGCTAATAAGAGAGTAACTTTTAAGAGAGCGTTTTGTAAGTAAAACAAAATATTTTTCTCAAAATGTGACACATTAAATTGCAAGTCTCAAATGTTATTAGCTTTTTAATGGATCATAATGGAACGGTAACCCCGCCTGCGCTATCGGTATACACTGATGGAGCACCAGCGAGAGATGATATGTGTAAATGAAACAGGTTAGTTGATCCATAGTGACGAAATAATCTCTGGAAACTATTTGAAACCGCGTAGAAGTCGATCTGATAGAGGACAATGGGGCTGTTAGATTTCCAACATTATAAATCCCTTTCCCCCCTATCTTATCAGCTAGATAGATGTATCCAGAACTGACTTTAAAATGAATTAATGAATGAAATAGAGGGTGCCGAGTAATGTTATAAGACGTTTAAGAGGCTTCTCGAGCCTATCGGGCTGTGTTCATACCAAAACGGGAGACCAAGTGGTAATCAAATGTAAAGAAATCGGAGACGCAGTGAACCCGGCGTGGGCAATATCGAATCTGTTGTGGGCAATATTGAAATTTTTTTTATACGACCTAGAATGGCAAATAAGCTGACGGCTCACCTGATGGAAAGTGGTAACCGTTGTGATATGAACAGAGTATACTATTTCGCCCATGATACTCCCCATACGTTGCCATTCTTGAGGACTCAGGTGTTATTCCTCTTTACCCTATAAACTCACTGCCATATCCCACCCTTCAAACCGAAACACAGCCATGCAAACACAACTGCTTCACGATTGAAACACGAATGGGACAGAGGTACCCAAGCAAACGACTCCTTCTGGTCTTCTGACCAGATCACGTCAAAAATTTGCCCAGAAGCACCAGGTACATTAAGTTCGGCCCTTTATATAACTTTGACCTAAATTGATCTTTCTATACATATACATATAATGAAAAGCGAGGTAACGCCACCCGCCTTTTGGGAACTCTGCCATAATGGGCTCTATATTACAATTTTACTGAATTTATTGTATAAAATGTTGATTTACTTTTTCCCTTTCTCTTACGTTACTTTTCGACCGACCTCCAAAAAGTAAGGAAAGAAATACAGTCGAATTATTAAGTCGACTTCAAAAAGATGGAGGTACTCACTTCGATCGTATTTTTTTTTGTATTTGTTACCTCATAACTCCGTCAGTTGTAGACCCATTTAGAAAATTCTTTTTTTTCTGAATATAAAAATTAAAAAAGGAATAATATATATACTTAAAGATTGGTTCCATGGACATTTTATCAAAATCGGTTTATTAATTAATTTTTGAAACAAACTGAAGTAGTTAATTTTTTTGTGGGACCATAGTACCATATCTGTAGTGGAACACGATTTTAAATTATTATGAGTAGTAGTAGGTTATCCGATATTCTTATACTAGATTTTTAAGATTTTTTTCAATTAATCATATTTAATTTTACTGCCGTATTGATTTCATATTAATTTTGTGAAAATTTCTCTGTGAAATAAACTCTTTATTGATTTTCTTGTAACGCCTAATTATTCTTTCTTTAATTATATCATTAAAGATTATTTAGTTCAAATAATACCAAATATAAAATAATTTTTGTACTTATAATATACTAGCTGTTGTCCGTGGCTTTACAAACGTGACGTCGTGATTTCCCTTTAAGTTGAAATCTCCAAAAATCTTTTTTTAACGGATACATACGTTATTAAATAAACCTATGTCCCAAATTTTAGTTTTCTAAACTTAGTAGTTTTGGCTGCGTGTCAATAATTAGTCACTACAAATGATTTTATAATTACTGATTGTGGAAAATTTATTAATTATATTTCCAACAAGATATTTGTTTTGTATACAATTGTTTCTGAAGCTTGAATGGAATAGGCTAGTGGGATTATTTTATTTAAATTATTTTTATAATTCATAATATCAGCCTTTAACTGTCTACTGCTTCCCCTTGGGGAGGGGAGGTGTTACCAGTAATTGCCACGGTTGCCAGGCGGATTGGTAGCACATGGGCAAAACAGTATACTCTGTTATGTCCATGGTACTGCTCTTGTCTATAGGCGTCGGTTACCACTTTCCATTAAGTGGGCCGTCAACTTGTTTAACATTCTAAGTTGCATAAAAAAATTGTTTATTTAATTTCAGAAGTTCACAAATGAATTTATGCAACGGCGGCGCCGGCACGGCTGGACTCACGGGTCTCGTCCCAAAGATACCCAACGGATACGGTGAACAGAAGAAACCTATGGCCTCACTAACACATCTACCCAAACGTCCACCGGTCGACATCGAGTTCTCCGAGCTTTCGTATTCTGTAAGCGAAGGCAGGAAGAGAGGGTACAAGGCGTTGCTGAAATGCATCAATGGAACGTTCAGGTCGAGTGAGCTGACCGCCATTATGGGGCCCTCTGGAGCGGGGAAGAGTACCCTCATGAACATCTTAGCTGGTTACAAGTAAGTTGTTCTCTTTAGTAGTTAATTTAGTTATTGATTCTATAAGTCATTTATTTATTTATTTATATACTGTTTTCTGCGGCTTAGAATACATTAATTAAGGCCAAACGTGTAATATTATGTTAACCCTGAATATGGTTTATCTATGTACCAAATTCAATTTAAATATATCTAGTAGTTTAAACGTAATTGATATATAATATCCTTATATTAGTATATCCAAACATTTTTATAGGCATTAATAATAATGACTATTTTTTGTGACTTAATCCAAAGACCTTTATAGATTTTATATTTATGATACTAACTATATACCTCAACTTTACCTGCGTGAATTGGAATGAAAGTATCTAAGTGTTAATCTAGAATATGATTTTTCTGTATATAAAATTTAGTTCAAATGCGACTAACTGTTAAGCGTGATTAAGTTACAAATTTTCGTATTTATGCCATGATATTAGTATGACTTTTAACCCATTTGTTGTATTAGTATAAAAAATTATTGCATACTTATATATAAATCCATTATATGGCCCATCTGTGTACCAAATTGTCATTCAATTCCGTTATGCGTGATTAAGTAATAAACAAACAAACTTGCACATTATATCATATTGCTAGTAGGACTAGCTGTCGAATTATTTTCTCTCATCCAAACCAGTTTCTTCCACATATATAAAAACGTCATCATTGGCATCTGAAGAGTTTGAAACTTCGCCAAAATACCAACATACGTTTTAAATTGCGTTCAATTTTTTAATGCATTACTAAACGCATTTTTCTAATTTCTATACGTTTTTCTAATTAACAATTTATTTATTTTAATACGAAACTTCACATTGTGTTAAATTATTATTCTATTATAGACTCTATAATATTACGTACTTAAGTCAATAAGTACAGAGATACGTTTTTTAATGAACTATTTAATACCTGAAGTAAATCCTTACTAATATTATAAATGGGAAAGTGAGTTTGTTTATTTACTTCTTAATGGCTCAATCAAGCATTATGAAGCTTGATATACACGAAATATTGTATAGAGAATGCAAAAAGATATAAGTTACATTTTATTCAGGTCAATTAACAAATTGAAGTCTTGCGGGTGTAATTCCTGTTTGGTTGTTATAAATGAAATTTGATACACCATTATTTGGCCACGTCTCAGACACAATTATAAATAATATTAGATTAACACACAGAATATATCTTTTAAATTACGCCATTAATTGCGTGTTACATTTTGTTTTAACATTTTTTTTTATATTACTTAAAATGGCAAACGTGCTGACGCCTCACCTTATGGAGAAAGTTGGTGCCTTAGCCTGTAGACATGAAAAGGAGATTGTACTATAATTCTTACGATACCCTCATGTATGCCATTCCTGAGGTCTAAGGTCTTATGCCTCCGTTCCCTTTAATTTCACAATAATATCCCACTCTTCGAACTGAAAAATTTTTTTTATACAACTGATAGAAACACGTCATCCTCATCTCAGCTATTATCTATTCACTGGTGAACAGGCTTCTCCTATATACCGAGATAATAAACAGGTCCTCGAGTCAAAGTCTCTCTCCTCATTCATGATAGAAACACGTCATCCTCATATCAGCTATTATCTATTCACTGCTGAATAGGCTTTTCCTATATATCGCGATAATAAACGGTCCTGAGTCACCTGCATCCATAGAAGTACGTAGATACTTATATTTCTGTCCCAATGTATCTAGAGGTATCCGAGAATTGTATTTAAGTACTTAACCTAACAGATAGAGACTTTAAAGGCATATATTTTAAAACACAATATCTTTCTGTTTCCAGAACATCAAACGTCAGTGGCTCCATACTAATAAATGGAAAGGAAAGGAACCTCAGGCGTTTTAGAAAACTCTCTTGCTATATCATGCAAGATGACTGCTTACTACCACATCTCACTGTCAGAGAAGCGATGAACGTATCAGCCAATCTGAAGCTCGGCAAGGACATGACCGTTACCGCCAAAAAAATTGTAATAGACGAAATATTAGATATGTTAGGGCTTGCAGATGCAAGCGATACTAGGACAATAAACCTTTCTGGTGGTCAGAAAAAACGATTGTCTATAGCTTTAGAGTTAGTTAACAACCCCCCTGTGATGTTCTTCGACGAGCCCACGTCAGGACTGGACAGCTCCTCGTGTTTTCAATGTATATCGTTGCTGAAGTCGTTGGCGAGGGGCGGTAGAACAATAATATGCACAATCCACCAACCGTCCGCTAGGTTGTTCGAGATGTTCGACTATTTATATACTCTGGCCGAAGGGCAATGTATATATCAGGGACAAGTGAGCGGATTAGTTCCGTTCCTATCATCGATGGGTCTTCATTGTCCGAGTTATCACAATCCAGCTGATTACGGTGAGTGGCTTTTTAAAAAATATTTTCTTTTCTTTAACCAAATGGTTTTTTTTATATTACTTAGAATGGCAAACAAGCTGACGGTCCACCTGATGGGAAGTGGTAACCGTCGCCTATAGACATGAGCAGTACTATGGACAGAACAGAGTATACTGTTTCGCCCATGATACCCCCATGCGTTGCCATTCCTGAGGACTCAGGTGTTATTCCTCTGTACCCTGTAAATTCACGCCATATCCCACCCTTCAAACCGAAACACAGCCATGCAAACACAACTGCTTCACGATCCATAAAGAGCATCGAGGACATCGTAGAGTACACTCTGATGCACAACAACAAGGTACAACGCATGAATAGCATAATCATGCGTTGTATTCTTGAGAAATAAGGTATTATGCTCTTGTATCCTTTAATTTAATTAACATATCTTTGACACAAATGCTTGTCAACAAAAATACAGAAGCAAGTCCCTGAGCAGCTGACTTTTGTAAAAAACTAGAAATGTTCTCCATCAAGTATGCTCTTTTGGGTTGTGTGTATTTTAAGTGGCTTTGTGATAAATAGTCACGTGGGCCATGAGCATCAGCTTAATGACAATTCCCATACGTTTTGGTACTAAATTTGCAAAGTAAAATATTCTGTCTTCAGGCCTCTTTGTTTAACCAATGTAATTAAATCATTAGATATTTCTCGCGTTAAACAAACACAGCGTCATTAATGTGACTCAGAACAGTAATCATGTTCTTCTTCCATTTATGGTTTTATGAATAATTTTATCTTAATTTGTACAACGCCAATTGGTATCATACAGATGTGGCGATTAATTAGTCACTTCATGATAATTATTTTTATTGTTGTCTCAAACCATTTTACAGTACAATAGGAAGGTTATCACGGGGGGTAGACCATAAAATGTGATTAGGAAGTTTCGAATGCAAATTTCTAGTGTACGATATATATTTTTATTTTTAAAATAACATACAATTTACATGAAAAGGTTTTGCTGGAAGAAATTTCTTATTAGAGATAAGCTCGCCTTTGTACATTATGTTTCAAATGAACTGTGGTTAACATTATATTTTGTGTACAATAAAGAATATATTTTTTAATGGGTGAAAATGCCATGGAAACCTCGCCTGCGCTATTGGTGTGCAATGGTAGAGTACCAGTGAGAGGTGATAGGTGAGGATGAAAAGGCAGGTCAGTTGGCCCATTGTGACGAATTCAACGATAAATTAGTCACGATAGTTTCCAGGGGGAACCGCGTGGAGGTCGACCTGATAGGGTATATTGATTGCAATGGGGACTAACCTCCTCATTACTAACAATCCCTTCCCCCCTGTACGATATATTAAGACCTTCATACTAAAATTGGACGCGAAAACTGACGCTTCTTACATCTTAAACCTGACCTTAAATTGTCAGAACAAATTATGCCGTTTCGCTTCGGAATTAGGGACAGGTATTTATGTAAAATAATTGTATTTATAAGGTCAGTGTATAATTTTTTATTATCATAATTTTCCTGTTTATTTCTCCTATTGAATATATATATATATATATATATATATATATATATATATATATATATATATATATATATATATATGTGTGTATATATGGGGTCATTATTTTATTTCAGACATTAAAAAAAAAACACAACGGAGAGTGTACCATTCAATCAATATTTAATAATCAAAAAAATTGCATACTATCAATAATGTGGTGTAGAACATTCCATCTTTATTAGTTCACGAACCTGGGTATATCTCTGTAATAATATTTTTTATCAACTCAATTATCTAGACTGATGCAATTTTAAAACAATAAAAAATATTAGTTTATCTGTATGCACGCAATTAGAATTGTATAAACAAGTATTTATCTTCACGATAAGTGCTATAATTCTGTGTATTTTTCCAATTCTTTGTTCTAAGTTGTATTTATTGTTCGGACGTTCGATGTATGGGATTGTTTTGTTATAAGAATTGTTAATTTAATATTTAAGTATTTAAAATTTTGCATGCCTAATTGTGGCGAAATATGTGGACTTAATATTATTTTATCTATCTGTATATTTACCATATTTCTTGCAAATAAATATTCATTCATTCATTCATAAAGTACTACAGTATTGTACACCTTAAAAAGGTCAACAAAAAAGTGTAGAGGGTCACAGTGAAAAATAATATTCTTTAGAACAACAATATATATAATACGTGTAGATACAAGACAAGACAACCATTTGAATACAAACAAAAACCGTATAGAAAAATAATATCAACATATATATGTAGCCAGTACATTATGGCCACAAAGAAGTTTCAATAAAAAGTCCGCGATGGTATATGTCTATCTCTTAAAGATAACCCACAATTACACTGGAAGTGATCATTATTATTATTCTAAAAATGCATCATCTACCTAAGTACTTGATAATCGGGGGAAAAAGGATTGTTAGCAATGGAGTTTGACAGCCCCATTGCTAGCAATATACCTTATTAGGTCGACCTCCACGTGGTTCCCCCTGGAAGCCATCGTGAACAATTCTTGTTGAATCCGTCACGATGGGCTAGCTGACCTGCTTCATCCTCACCTATCATCCTTCACTGGTGCCCCGCCGGTGTATACCGATAGCGCGGGTGGGGTTACCATTTCATTATCATCCATTTAAAAAAAAAAGTACCTGATAATAATAATATACCTACTTGCTTTATTTGGAATTGTTAGTTTAGTTCTAGTCAATGTAAAAAAGTCTCCGCTACGAAGCCTCAAAGTTAATACGAATAAGTCAAAATATAAAAGATATTTTAGAAATGATTTAGAATTTTTTAATTATATTATCTACGATTCTGAATATAAATTCTTTTTTTTTTATTTTATATATAAAATTTAACATAATAATAATAATAAAGTTTATTCTCTTCACAATACCAGTTGTACATCTATTATATTCTAATATATTTATTTCTGAAGGTTACATAAGTTAATGTATTGTAACTGGTGTCGCCTATAAACCTGTGTTACAGATACCATGGACATAACAGAGTTACTGTTTTACAATGCGTTGCCATTATGAATATAATGTTATCCCTCTGTACCCAGTAAACCAAAATTATTACAATAAATTATATTATAAACATCATTGATATATTTAGTAGTAGCCTGCCAAAGATATCAGAGAGCGGCTCAGACATATCTCGAGTCGGGTTAAAATACATTTATTATAACTTTGTATATTAGCACGCTAGATTTATAACATTGATTTGGCTTTTGCTGTTATAATGTTATAATTATTTTTAATAAATATATTTTTTTTTTTATTTCAGTAATGGAGGTGGCGACGGGCGAACACGGTGACTGGGTGCATAAGCTAGTGATGGCTGTGAACAAAGGCAACTGCGGTCGGGGGCAGTCCTCTACGTCGTCATCATCGTCATCGGTGCCACAGAACCTCAACTACAACAACCAGTCAAGCAAGAATAATGCTCAGAAGGCGGAGGCGCTCGAAATTGTGATAGGTGAGTTATGATAAACACACAATCACACAAACACAACTAATATAATAGAATTGAAACTAGACAATGTCTGTACATGGAAAATGTTTAAGAACATCCGTGTGAGGAGTCTTAAGACCTCTTACATGAATATTTTAAATACACAATCGGAACGTTAACGAAATGAAAAAATCTTTGTAGGTAAATAGTATTTTCTCAAACATGCTTGGAAATGTGGGCATTATTTTGACAATCTTCTTCGAGATAAATCAAAATGTCCGTACTGGCCAGATACATTCGGGCAGCGGCCGGCAAAAGTTGTATAAAAATCTATATCTGTCGTGTTTTGCGGCCAGATAAATTACTATGTAAACTCATATCTGTCCTGTAATTTAAAAATGGAATGACCTTTTAACTAATAAAAAGTTTTATTTAAATTTCGAACTGGCTTTCAAATAGAAAGCTGTTTATTGAAAAAAAAAACCAAAGGAAAAATAATTATTGTTCGTTATTCGTCATTGAACTTAAAAAGTAAAATAGTGTTATTGATTTCCGCGCATTGTTTGAGAAAAGTACTATACAAGCCTTGGCCACAACTAGGCATTGATGGACTCACGTATGTGTGCCCCGGCAACGTCTCGGCCCACATTTGCACGTTCGTCCATCAATGCCTCAGTTGCTGGCCGCTGCAGTAATATACTATATACAAAAAGGTCAGAGTCTGCAATAGGCATATTATATTGCAGACTAAATAGAATAGAAACATTTATTGTCAGTAAACACACAGTTACAATAGAAAATACATAATACAAGAAGTGTCCCATACTAGGCAAATAAATGACTTCATTTTGTTATTGGTAATGGTATTTATGTATCCAGATAGATAAACCAGTAGGTTTTGAGGCTGCTTTGATCTATAGATTATAAAGTAGTTTTGACCAGACAATAATCATGGCATCTTTCTATTCCAGATAAACCAACGTGTACTGTGATAGACATGTCTGAGCCGGCTGCAAATCCAGAAAAACCGAACCCGGTACCGAACTCGACAAACTTGGCGCCCGTAACTTGCACAACTTCGTTATTGGACTCCAGTGAAAGTTTTACAAAGAAACCAATCAAGGCCGGTTTTCCAACATCGGGATGGAAGCAGTTCTGGGTGCTGTTGAAGAGAACATTCAGGAGTATACTCAGAGATCAGATGTTGACGCATTTGAGGCTTTGCTCGCACACAATTGTCGGTTTGCTCATAGGATTTTTGTACTACGACATCGGATCGGACGCGGCGAAGGTGATGAGTAACGCTGGATGTATATTCTTTACTGTGATGTTCACTATGTTTACTGCTATGATGCCTACAATACTTACATGTGAGTATTCGTGTGTGTACAGCACACTTACATTTATTTACAACTAATTCTACTTTACAAATGTGGGATTTATCTTATAAATATATTTAATGAATAATTAAAATACAAGAATTATTTTACAATAAAACAAATAAATTTTTGAATCGAACACAACAAAACACTCTCGCTGGTTGTTGGCTCGTGCGCGGTATTTTTTTCTGCGCGCGCAGCCAACAATCACAAAGCGCCCGCGCGACCTGCGCGCGCATCTTGCGAGTGAGTCCCGTGACCAAGCGTCATGATATAAATATATATATAACAAAATAGTTTGTTTGTTTGCTTGTATTTTTAAGTTTAGTAATATTATAATAGTAAAAATACTTCCGCGAAATCAGCTTAGAGTATTTTTATGCAAATTATTATCCTATTGTGTATCTGGCTTTAACATATAGGTTATTTTCTCTTATTTACATTGCCTATCTATATACATCATTAAATTAAAAAAAAACGTTACGAATACGTGGTATATAAATTTATCATTAAAAATTTTGCAACTAGTAAATATTTCGCTTTGGAATTTAAATATATTTTACTATAGCAGAGAACTTTTAAATATTCAGACAGTTACATTGAAAATTGTTAACATATAAAAATAAGTGCAAAAGTTTGTAAGAAGAGATGACAAGGGAGGATGTTTGTTATTCTTTCACGCAAAAACTACTGAACTGAGATTGAATAAAATTTGGTACACGGGTAGGTTATATCCTAACTTCGCACATAGGATATTTTTTATTTATTTATTTATTTATTTATAAAAGACACACCAACAATATGCTCACAATAATTAAGTAGATAATATACAATATTATTAGTAATTTAAAGAGAAAAACTACTATTACAAAATGCTTAAATCTAAGTTTGAACAAAAAAACTTACTCCTCACTACCAAGCTTAAGGCTATATGAATCATATCAATTAAAGGCGTATACAAACTCTCACAGATAAGCGTCAATGTATACTAACTAACAATTATACAATTAGAAAAGACCTAACTACCAATCCATATTATTAATAAGCCTAGTATACTGCACTATACTGATTCACGTGGGTAAAGCCACGGGATAGATCTAGTTGATAAATAAATGTTGCCTTATCATGTTTTGGTAATATTTTAACTCCGTTTTTACATAGAGAATGTAATATATTATTAATAATTTATATATTTTTATATTACAGTCCCGACAGAAATGAGCGTATTCGTTAGAGAACATCTCAACTATTGGTATTCGCTGAAGTCATTCTATTTTGCGAAAACAATGGCAGATCTACCGTTCCAGGTAACTATTATAAAAGTAAAGTAAATAGGTATGCTTGCGACTATTTTAATCTGTAATGGATAAATATAAATTCAAATCATCTTTTTTTTTATACAACTTAGAATGGCAAACAAGCTGACGGCCCACCTGATGGAAACATGAACAGTTTCATGCGCGCGCATAACATAATATACTGTTACGCGACCATGCGCGCCCCCTTGCATTGCCATTCCTGAGGATTCAGATGTTAATATATATATACCCTGTAAATTCACTGCTTGTATTTTTCAAACCAGAAACACAGCCATGCAAACACAACTGCTTCACGGTTGAAACACGAATAAGGCAAATACGATACCCAAGTGTAAACGACTTTTGTACAAAAGTCTCCCTTATTAAAATCTCCCTTATCATAGTCATTAAAAAGTTCGTGCATGATCGTCTAACACCATGCATGCGTGCCATTCAAGTAATCATTTATAGTATTTAAAGACTTTGGTCAATAAGTGTTTTTACAAGCAGTTTTAAATTTATTATAAGGTAGATCCAGAATATTCCAAAATAGAACTTAATTCTAATTATAGTAACAGTACCCATAAGAGTTGAAAAGAGTTTCTTGCGGATTCTTCTCAGCAGATAACAACATCACAAACCCAGCTGAACAATCATTCTTTATTCTTTATTGTACACAAAATATAATGTTAACCACAATTAATTTGAAACATAATGTACAAAGGCGAGCTTATATCTAATAAGAGATTTGTTCCAGCAAAACCTTTTCATGTAAATTGTATGTTATTTTAAAAATAAAACCAGTCGTACGATCTGCATACATTGAATAAACACATAAGACATGTATACACAAAGAATAATACAAACTACACATTATAAATTACATAAAATACATAAACCTTGTACATACACATATACTTACACATACATACATATACATATATATACACATATAAACATATAAATATACATACACATATACATAATACGTCAGCACAGTGACAAGTAATGCTCCCTTAGACGACGCTTAAACAAGCCTATATTTGTCGATTCCCTTATTTCGGATGGCAAACTATTCCATAATCGAATTGATAAAATCATATGTAATTGACGATTTAAAAGAGCTTGTAAACAAATCTATTGGAATAAAGATTATTCTTTTTTTTTACCTTGAATTCAGAGAAAGAGAAGGAATATAAAATATATTTTATTAAATTATATTGGCAAATGAGGTCCTACGTAAAAGACAGTATATTATAAAATGAGTAGTATATTTCAAAACAAACTACCAAGTCATTTATATCACATCAAACCGCCAGAGGTAGATTTTGTGCATATGTTGTCTACTTACCTTTATCCCATTCGAGGTTTTGCCGTAAAATCCCAATGCACGTATGGCTATATTTTGAATAAAAAAGTATGGCAGTGAAAATACCGTAGTCCTCAGAAATAGTAACGCATAAAGACTACCGTATACAAATTTCTTCTTTTGTGATATTCAAGGTATTGTTCCTGTATATAGGTGAGCCGCGTGCTTGTTTGCCTTTCTAAGCGACATAAAAAACACAACTTTTATGAAAGAAGAAGAAAGAAATAATTTAATTAAAATATCATGCGACTCACACAATAGCACACCAAATAAGAACAAAAGGAACAAAAACAAAACAATAATATACAAATAAAAAGCGTTTTTTGCTCAGTTAAAGTCAAAATTAAAAAATAATGATAAATAAATAAACAATAGGATAACTAGTAAAAGAGTTTTAATATGATTTCATTGTTTTTGCAGATAGTCTTCAGTGGGGTCTACGTCATTATAGTGTACTTCATGACGGGGCAACCGATGCAGACTGATCGAGTGCTCATGTTTGTCACAATTAACATTCTCACTGCACTAGTTGCACAGTCCCTGGGTCTACTCATCGGGGCCGCAATGAAGATCGAGACCGGCGTCTACCTCGGACCGGTCACTACCATCCCAGTAGTTCTGTTCTCTGGTTTCTTCGTGAACTTCAATGCCATACCCAGCTACTTACAATGGCTCACGTACTTAAGTTACGTTAGGTATGGTTTCGAAGGCGCCATGCTGTCAGTTTACGGTTTCGAGAGGGAGAAACTCCGTTGCTCGGAAGACTACTGCCATTTTAGAGTACCAGAGAAGTTCCTCAAGGAAATGACAATGGACAAGGCCAACTTCTGGATAGATGTCGGCGCACTAAGTGCGTTCTTCATTTTTATTAGAGTAATCTCATATTTAGTGTTAAGATTCAAGTTGAAGATGATGCAGTAGAGTTAGATGCACAATGGACGCTTCAATGTAACGGCGATATCTTTTCCAATTACGGATTCTGATAGTGGAGTTACAATTAGGTGCTCTGACCAGAGTTATGGTAAGAATTAGTGTTAAAACCATTCTTGTGACAATGTCCATACCTTTGGATTTTATTAATCCAAATTGTCTCGATGAATTGTAGTTCTTCTGATTTTTCAAAGGAATGACATTTGAACGTTTTGCCGCTAAATTAGTATTATTAAATTTAAAACAATGTGATCATTACTTGTCAACGAATATAAGAAAACCATTCCATAATATCGTCCGACTTGTGTTTTGAACATTTTTACTTGAAGTAATAAAATTTAGAACTCATGTATATAAATATATGGTCGAAATTTGCAATTCTGCATGCAGGCATGCTTCTGAATACGTAAAAAAGATCTTATAGACTTCAAACCATATCATTGTGGTGAATTTTATTCGTTAATGATTGCTAATTAATCTAGCATAGCAGATAACATTAGTTCAAAATATAAGGACTGAATAAAGGACGAATCAATATGGAATTTGTACATTATCGATTTTGATGTTGTTAGCTCCTTTGTAAAATAATAAATCCATATCTCTGGTCGGATTATTAAATAGTTTTCGAAATATAGCTTTTAGGTCGCCGGTGGACTTAAATATATGTTTATACGTACCCTTAGGGATAGATTAAGGTTTTATAGAAGATTGGGCCCATGACTTAATATAAGTTCCTTACATTAGTGATCTAATGAATTAATGATATTATTAGTTTTCATTTAAACTCACGACGTAGCTAGTTCTACTCGTATGTACTCAATACTTGAACATTACCTTATAGATTTTAATTAGATATTCTTCAAGTACCTTTCCTTATGCTAAAGATTTTGGTAAATCTCTATATTTATCCTAATTACCAGTATTTATTAATAATTAATAAACGACTGTGATTTTTATAATGAATCTTGTATTATTTGTATATTTTGTAATCCTTTAAACAACCTACAAGTTAGAAGCTCAAAATACTAGTATTGTAAGCAAAATGAAGGAGATTTTCAATTTATTTACATATCTGCCGTTAACTTTCCACTATTAAATATATTTTTCTTCCTCATGGAGGTTTCGCCAGTAATTGTTACGTTTGGTAGGAGGGTTGGTGTCGCAGTTAGGCTTTGGTGATGTTTTAAGAGGGACGCTGCTGCTCATCTCCCGACTATTAAGTTTTCTTAATCGTTTCTTACGTGGCTACTATATATTGATCACCATATATATATATATATATATATATATATATATATATAACTATATATATATATATATATATATATATATATATATATATATATATATATATATATACAGTTTCATATTAACTCATCCTGTTCGCTTGCAATCGAAACACTGCGTACCTATGGCAGAACAAGAAATCACAGCGACCCTATTGTCGGTTGGGCTCCTATAATGCCGAGAGTCTTTAAAGAACTAACTAAATAACAATTCTATATTATTAAAACACTGAATTAGATGATTTAGTCCTTAACTTAAATATAATTTTACATTTCACAATCACTACGATAAGCACAAGTGTTCATTGCACGGTTCAATCAAGGAATGCCCAAAGCTCCAACACAAAGGAGCAACAGTGAGAGTTAATTTCACACAGGACGTAATTATTATAAATAAACGAATGGTGACAAATACGTAGAAGGAACACTACGTGTCATTGTTTATGAAGTTTAAATTTAATATAACGAATATGAAGGTTTTTTTTTTATGGGTGATAATGGAATGGAAACCCCACCCGCGCTATTGGTATACACCGGCAGGGCACCAGTGAGGGATGATAGATGAGGATGAAGCAGGTCCGTTAGCCCATCGAGACGAATTCATCAAGAATTGTTCACGATGGTTTCCAGGAGGAACTACGTGGATGTCGACCTGATAGGGCATATTGCTAGCAATGTCGAACTCCATTCCTAACAATCCCTTTCCCCCCGATAATGAAGGTTTGAAATGAGGAAATGTTTAAAATGATGCTCACAGCCACCTTATATCATAGATCCCTCGCTATTCATCAGGAATTCACACATGTTTGAACCTAAATGGTCGCGTAGTGTACGGATTCTGAGGAGTTTTTCTACGCAAACCCTCAGACTGTAGAATGAGCTTACTGCCGAGGTTTTCCCTAGACATTACAGTATGGGGTTTTTAAAAAGGGTGTATTAAGGTTTTTTCAAGGTCAGCAATAAACAAGTGACACTCTTAGTTTTGTTGGTTGGTTGGTTGGTTGGTCAGTTTACCATCAGACGGGCTGTATGCTTGTTTGCTACCTTTATGGTATGTTACATGTGGTATAAAAAAAAACAAGAAAGTTCGGATGAATGGATGGATATTTCTTACTTTTTCACCTAAAACTACTGAACAGATTTGAATGACATTTGGTACACGGGTAGGTTTTTTTTATTGGATAAAAATGGAATGGTAACCCCGCCTGCGCTAACGGAATACGCTGGCGGGGCACCAGTGAAGGGTGATCGATGAAGATGAAAACAGGCCAGTTAACCTATCATGATAAATTTATCAGGAATTAATCATGATAGTTTCCAGGGGGAACCGCGAGGAGGTCGACCTGGTTGAGTATATTGCTAGCAATGGGATTCTTAGTCTCCATTACTAACAATCCCTTTCCCCCTACACGGGTAGGTTATATCCTGATCTAATGCAATACTTTATGTACCGAGTCACGCGAGTAAAGCCGCGGGACACAGCCAGTATAAAATATATCACACACATAGATTGGGCAGATCATATAAAAAGACCTCGACTATACGTTATTGGTCAGTCGAAACTACAGGAAAATAAGAACAAAAAACTGCTGAAACGCCTATTGTGTCTAACTTTTCTCGTTAGTAGGGAACCGAAGGAAAGGCCGGCAAGCTGATATATTTGTTCGGATTCGTTTATATATAAAAAATAAACTTGTGAAATAAGTCCTTGGTGATATCATGGATTTGTTGGGACAACTATTCAAATAAAAGCTACTGGCTCATTCATCAGGTAAGTAAGTTTTACCTTAATTTACAAGTGAATATGATAAAATTGATCTCAATGTATCAAAATTATAAAATTTTGATACTTTAGCATCGAATTAACTTAAGGTTTTTGGTATGATAACAGATTTTTATAAGGTAAAAATACACCGTCTCTTCAGACAAAATATGCTATTGGGGTATTAGAGTAATAATAGAGAATAAAATCAAAAGGCTTACCATGAAATGTTTTCTGTAATTTCGGGGCCAAACGAAATACAAATTTGATGATAAATTGACACAATACATACCGTTTAGAAATATTTAAAATGTTAAAATATTCGCGTTGTTAATATATTAACGTTCCTTTTGGATTTTTATGGTAAGATTTATGACGAAGGAAATGTAAAGCACTATTTACTGGGCAGATTTCGGTATGAACAAAAACACGAAATTTTGTCCGAAAATTCGGAATTTCATTTCATTGTAGATCCCAAAATCAGTCGGCCCATTGTGGCAAAATAATTAGGTATTAATTAAGATGTTTTCCAGAAGGGACCGAATAGATGTCGATCTCAAAAGGTATATTGTTAGCAACGATGTATCCCTTCTCCTCTGATAAATGTTATCAGTACCTTTTCCTGTCATTCTTATTTTAGCCACCCATTTACAACCTCTTGATAATTGGAAGAAGGGATTATTAGTAATGAGATTTGTAGCTTTGGAATATACTCTGTTAAGTCGACCTCCTCGCGATTTCCAAATGAATTCTTTCTGTTTTTTACGCAACTTAAAATAGCAAAAAAGCTGACGGCTCATCTGTTGGAAAATGATAACAGTCGCCTATAGACATGAGCGGTACCATGGTACCACTTATACTGTTTCACTCATGATACTCCCCATACGTTGCCATTCGTGAGGACACAGGTGTTATTTCTCTGTACCCTATAAATTCACTGGCATATCCCAACCTTCAAACTGATACACAGTCATGCAAACACAACTACTTCACGGTAAAAACACGAATTGGACACAGTTGCCCAAGCAAACGACTTTTGTGCAAAGTCTCTCTCTGGTATGTATGTGTATTATATATGTATGTTAGTGTTGTATTCATATATTATTATGTATTCATATATTTGTATTTATGTATGTATGTAATTGTGCTTATTTACACAGATATTTATTATTTTTATATTATTTTTACAAATCTATTTTTTTACCGTACCAACTACCTATTTTTTCTTTTATTTTTTCTACCCAAAGGTTGTCTAGAAGAAATTGCTTAGCAATAAGACCGCCTTTTGTACTACATTTTTTTTTAATTTTTTTTATACAACTTAGAATGGCAATCAAGCTGACGGTACACCTGATGGAAAGTGGTAACCGTCGCCTATAGACATGAACAGTACCGTGGACATAACAGAGTATACTGTTTCGCCCATGATACCCCCTATGCGTTGCCATTCCTGAGGACTCAGGTGTTATTCCTCTGTACCCACTAAATTCACGCCATATCCCATCCTTCATACCGAAACACAGCCATGCAAACACAGCTGCTTCACGGTAGAAATACGAATGGGACAGAGGTGCCCAAGCAATCAACTTTTGTACAAAGTCTCCCTCTGGTACTATACTCCCTACATTATACATATCGAAAATTCTTCAACAAGTTTTATAATTTTGGCGCAATAAAGTGTTAAATAAATAAATATATTAGAAACTGAACTCACGCCACAGGAGCACGTGCTGATTGAAAATGTATATTTATTGAGTTTCTCAGAAGCTATATTCGTTTTATAATTGAATTGATACACGTGTCGGAAAGCTTTCGCCATGAATTAATCCAATCTCGATTGAAGGCGACGTATTCTGTCAATTTATGAACTTATATAATTTACGTATTATATATAGGACCGAAGAACCGACAACCAATGGAAAAGAAAGGTTCTTGAGTGGCGACCTCGTACGGGCAAACGCAGTGTAGGACGGCCCCCCACTAGTTGGAGTAACGACCTGAAATGCATTGCAGGGAGTCAGTGGATGCAAGTGGCTTAGGACCGTTCCTTATGGCAGTCTATGGGGGAGGTTTATGTCCAGCAGTGGACGGACAATGGCTGAAATGATGATAAGATTATTTACAGTGCAGTGGTTTAGCAAGCATGTTCACACACCTATTTGTTTTGAAATAATTAATCAAAGCAGTGTTAATTTGTAAATTATTTAAAACTAATAAATTAATAACAATAAAATTACAAAATTAAAATTACAACTTAGAAGTAAAATTAGTCATATTGGTAAAAAAGCGACACCAACTTTCATATTAATGTATTTTTTTTTATAAAAATATAAAGGCTTTATTTTATTTATTTTTTATTAAGTAAAAACCAACAGCTATCACATTTCATTATAAAAAAAAAACAAGAGTAAAAACGAAAAGCCAACTATATGTTTTCACAAATAAAAACAAGATTAAATGCCTATGATATCGCTGATATATATGAGGATAGAAGCAAGTCAGCCCATCGTGACGATTTGAGAATTAACCACTATGGTTTCCAGAGAGACAAGGTTTATTGCTAGCATTGGGCAGGATCGATGTAACAGGTGACACCCCATTATTAATAATCCCTTTCCTCCCACCGAGATGTTTTTTTTAATAGATGGGATTGGAATGGCAACCCCGCCTGCGCTATCGGCATACACTGGCGGGGTACCAGTGAAGGATGATAAGTGAAGCAGGTCAGCCAGCCCATTATGACAAATTCACCAATGAGTCAATCACAATCGTTTCCAGAGAGAATCGCGAGGAGGTCGACCTGATAGGGTACATTACTAGTAATAGAGCTGCTAATCTCCATTAACAATAATCCTTTCCCCCCACCGACATGTTAGAACCTGTAGGGAAATCCACTACCCTTACGTAGATTAATT